TCTATTCTATACTATTCTATTCAACTCTATTTTTTATTCTACTCTATTTTCTATTCTATTCTCCTATTCTATTTTATTCTATTCTCTATTCTCTTCCATTCCATTCATACCATTCCATATTCTATCCTATTCTATTCTATTCTATTCTGCTCTACTCTACCCTACTCTATTCTCAATGGCATTGTAACTTCAAACAAGCACTGAACGAACTGTTGTCCCCTCATAGGGGAGAAGGGCAGCACGATAAATACATAAATAAGAGCATAAATACATAAATAAACTTCACCCCCCACCTCTAGTCAGAATGGACCAACCAGACATGACCCATCCAAGCCACCCCCCCAAATTGACGTGTGTGGTTTTCCTTACCTAAAGACAACAGGTTTTCGGTGGCGTTGATGTAAGCGACGGAATCGAACTGCATAAAATCTCTCTCTCTTGCCTGCCGAAACGGGAGGGCGGGCAACTCAGTTCCTTGGCCTCTAAGGGTCTCTTCCTCACCAGCTGACCCCCAGGAGGTGGCCCAACACCCCACCCTCCACCAGAATCCCCTCTGAGCGACAGTTAGTCCTTGACTTACAACCCCAATTCAGTCTGAGGTTTCTGCTGGTAAGCGAGAGAGGAGTTGAGTAAGTTTTGCCCCATGTGGGCGACTGTTCCTGCCACATCTGTTAAGCCAGGGGTGTCCAAACTTGGGAACTTTAAGACTTGTGGACTTCAACTCCCAGAATTCCCCGGCCGGGGAATTGTGGGAGTTGAAGTCCACAAGTCTTAAAGTTCCCAAGTTTGGACACCCCTGTGTTAAAGCGAATCCCTGCGGCTGTGACGTTAATAACACGGTCGTTAAGGGAACACGGTCGTTAAGGGAATCTTAGCTTCCCCTTGTTGACTCAGCTTGGCAAACGGTCGCCAAGGGGGGCCCCAAATGCGAGTCAGTTGATCGCGCAACCACGGGGAGGCTCCAACGGTCGCAAAGCGTGCCAAGCGGTCATAAGTGAGTCACTTTTTTTTTGTAACTGTTGTAACTTTGAACGGCCGCTAAGTGAAAACGGTCGTAAGTGGGGGACTACCTGTAAAAAATAAGAAACGGGTCCCCAGCCACCCAGGAGAAAAGGGGACCGCACCAAGCCGCCCAAAATGCCACCTGTAAGGGCCCTCTATACCCCAACACCTGGGGGGTGGGGGGGAGCACGCAGCCCCTCCCCTGGAAGCAAAGGGATGTCGCGGGTTCGAATCCCTACTCACCAAGGCGAAGTTCTGGTGGCTGATATTCACGGAGCACAAATCCGAAGGTGTCTGCACATGGTGGAGCTTAATCTAGAAATCACAAGCCGGAGAAAGTGAAAATGGAAAAGTCAAATCTCTACCGCCAGAAAAACCAATTTCCTCTGCAGTGGCCATGACAGGAAGACTCTGTAAAATGGCTCTCTGTGTGTGTGTGTGTGTGTGTGTGTGTGTGTGTGTGTTAGTATTTCAATAGGGGCTGTGTGAGCTGACTGAGGGACAGGATCCAGAAGTTGTGAATGCTCCAACACTGGAAGTTTTTAAGAAGATGTTGGATAACCATTTGTCTGAAGTGGTGTAGAGTTTCCTGCCTAAGCAGGAGATTGGACTAGAAGACCTCCAAGGTCCCTTTCAACTCTGTTATTCTAAATGTGGCAAAATCTCAGAGGGAATGAAAGGTGATATGTCAATTTGAAATCACATGGGTGTCCTCCAGGCTGGCTGGAGAACTCTGAGAGTTGAAGGCCGCACATTTTAAAGTTGCTGAGGTTGTGCAACACTTTTGTTACAGAATCTTTATTTCCAGAAAGGGTTCCTTATTCATTGGTCCTAAGTTTTAATGCTGACTAAGATTCCTCGAAACAAGGAGCCGGTGGCTGGCTTCTCCTTTGAAACCTTCGGAATTATTGCTTGCTCATTTTTAAGGGCAGTTATAGGGATTAGACTAGAAGACCTCCAAGGTCCCTTCCAACTCTGTTATTCTATTCTATTCTAAATACAAAGCCACCCTTGCAAAAAGTTCTGGTTCTCTGAGGAACTATCTGGTTCTCTGAGGTAGAAGGTTGTTCTACAGGGCAGCTACAATGTCAGAGGAGGCAAATGGAGGTAAAGGCTCTCTAAATTGGACTCAAGAGGTAACAATTCACAATGGCTGTATGCCTGTGAATACCATTTCCTGGAGATCCTGAGCAGGAAGCTGCTGTTGTGCTATTGACCTCCAGCTGGCCAGCAAAGAAACAGAATGATGGCTAAAAGGACTCCTGGCCTAATCTAAGCTAACTGTTCTGTTCTCGTCCATTTCACAGCAGCAGTTTCTAATCTTGAGCGGGCCTAGTCTTTGCAGAGATTTTTCTTCTTTAGGGTGGGACAAACCTACCCAATTTTTCTTTCTATTTTCTCTCCCCCGTTACCAATCTTACACCTCGGGGGCCCTACGTTAAGGAGGAGCTTGTGCCACGAGATCGTCTCTCAGCACTTCTCTCAATAAATTGCCCCATTTATTTTTCCATTCTATCCAGTCTTCCATAGCAGACTAGCTCTCCCATCGCTCGATTTATGTCCCTCCAAGCACTTGGCATATTATGGCTCCAGGCAGCTCAGGCAGCAGCAAGGAGGCGGGAGGCAGGCGTGGTAGGGAAAACAGCTCAGCCTTGGATTTCTTGAAGTAAATCCCAAAGAGGGACAGGAAGTCCCCTTGCAGACAGAAAGTCTGCCGGCCTACAACATTTGGCATACAGCTCTGGGCTAAGTGCGGTGTGCCACCAACCAGACAAGTGAGGAATTCCACAGCAGAGAGCGGAGTGAGATGGGGGAAAGGAGGGGGAGGAAGAATGTCAGATAGAGATGTGGCAAGGAAGGCCAGAATAACAAATGTAGTAATGACGACAACAGTGATGATGATAACGTGAGGCAGAAACGCTGCCCAAGGATCATAAGAAAAACTTCTCTCTCTGCAGACAGAGAAACAGAACGTAGAAATATCAAATAACGGCTATTATATCTCCAGTTTTCCTAACCTTCCCCACCCCCCCAACACTGACACAAAACCCCGTTCTCTGAAATCACAGAGGTTTTTGTTTTTTTTCCTTAAAGGCATCAGAGCTTCCTCTCCTTTTCGTTTTGCATTTAAATCTTGAAATGCAGAAGAGTTTAAAGGGATGAGGGTTCCTTGGAAGGAACATTTTGCAAAGGGAAAATCTTATCGGACAGGTCCTCGGTGGATTGTAGCAGAAGTTGTAGAAGATAAAATGAAGGGCGTCACTAAAGCAGGTTAACCTTTACCACTATTGAATCTGCTTCTCTGTTAGCTGCCCCTGTATTCTTTGAGTTTCTTCCTGAATCTCCAAGGGTCCTCCCTTCCTTTTCCACAACAGAAGGCGAGACAAGAAACAATGGATGGAACTAAGGAGAAATTTCCTAACAGCGAGAACAATGAACCGGTGGAAAGGCTTGTCTTCGGAAGTTGTGGGTGCTCCATCATTGGAGGCTTTTAAGAAGAGACTGGAATGGTATAGGGTCTCCTGCCTCAGCAGGGAGTTAGACTAGAAGACCTCCAAAGTCTCTTTCAACTGTTTTTTCTTTCTGTTATTCTTTGTTGATTGGACTGTAACTGAAGCCATGATGTTGGTGATGTAAACTATGAAGTCTGGTTTATTTATTTATTTTATTTTTGTTTTATTGTTGTGTGTATTAAATATATATATATAACAGAGAGATACGGTATGTGTGTGTGGGGGGAATGTAGTTGGGATGGATTGCCACAGGTAGGGGAATAAGAAATGATACTAAATTATAACCTATTAAATGAAATAATAAATGTATAAGACTGATAAATGTTAAAACACCTGTAACCAAACGACATACTGTATGTGATGATGGTTTTTTTTTTCCTTCTTTGTGTTTTTTTTTCTCTTTCTTTTTTGTTTTTGTTTCTCCGTTGTTGTGTGTATATGTTGTCTATGTAACAAAAATAAATAAATAAATATATATATAT